ATGGTGCCCCAGCAGCCTGCAAACAGCCCTCAGGTGTATGCCTTGGGTTCAGTTGTAATAATAATAATAATAATAATAATAATAATAATAATAATAATGATAGCAGCAGCAGCAGCTGGTGTTCACCCAGTGAATGACCTTGTGCTCCATTTCATAATGCTCAAAATGATGCTGGGAGGGAGCTATTTAACAACCCGTCGCCCTGTCCTTATAAGAAGCACCCGTTACCTGGTAACACCAACAGCCTGGAAGGGGTGGAGCGGGAGGGAGCGGCCGGCTGCACGCCTGCCTCAGTTTCCCTACCTGTTAAAAGGGGAGAAGGTGCTTTGCTTGGTGGGTGGTGAGAGCTCAGTGTCTTTGTGATGGCCTCAGCTCCTGGCTGAGGGATCCCTTGGGTCTTGGCCCGGCTCGTTTGCCACCCTGTTATTAATGCCGGTAATGGTATAGGAAGGATAAATTCCACCACTTGGCTGAACAGAGAAAATATGCAGAGAAGTGGCTGGCTTTTCATAAATCATTGGTGCTCCGTGCTACAACCAAGCCAGGACTTAAAATTCAGGTCAGGAGAGAGGGACTCTCGTAAGCCAGCGAGGGAAGGTAATTTATTCTGTTTATATCTTTTTACTGCAAGACAAGGGGGGGGAAACTCTGCCATGATTTTGCATTTTAAATATTAGTTCAGAGCTGCAGCCTGCCTTGGACTTTATTTATTTGTGTCTCCAAAAACAAGAGAAGGAAAGCAGGAGAGAGGATGGGGGCAGACTGGGGTGCTGGGGGAGGAAACCCCCCTCCTGCTTGCCCCCGGTGCCCCCTTGGGGCAGATGGGACAAAAGCTGGTGATGGCATTCATGACCCCCCCCCGCTCGGTGTGTGTCCCCCCAGCAGCCCTGCTGACCCCCCTGGCACTCCCGTGGCTCCCCCATGGGGATGCTGTGCCAGCAGGGCTGTGGGTGCCTCTGGGATGCCCTGGGGTGTGTGTGGTGTGTGTCTTGGGGGGTACACACAATACCTCCCCCCCCGCAGGAGAAAAACGATGCACCAACCTGTCTGCTGTGGAGGAAGG